GCAGAGAGAGAGAGAGGAGACTGAGTGTGGCACTTCTGAGAAGAAGAGGGAAATTACCCTAAGAGTAACAGTCTGGAGACAGACAGGGAATGACAATTAGCAGGAGAGAAGGCACTGTCCTTACTATCCTATCTAATTGTCTTCTTTCTGCCCCCTTCAGGGTTGTCTTCTCTTCTTCTTTGTACACCAGACATTGCCTTTTCCAACACTGGGGACTGCTATGCTAGACTGTGTTTATGAAAATACATGAAACTTACTTCTTTATTTAAGTTTTGCCATCCTGGATCAGCCTGAAGTCCATCCAGTGATCTGTTACCAGCAGCAGCATTCTGGACATAACAGCTTTTGTCTCTTGCTAGTCCCTAGCATCTGTCTCTGTACATGGAAACTGTAGTGTACAGAGATATACTGCCTCTGTACTTGGAAGTTTTATTTAGCTACTAGGAATAAGGCGTGTTGGGGAAATAAATACAACAAGCTCTAGAAAGAGGCTCTGGGTGGGTGCCCTGGCGTTGGGCAATCAGCGTCAATTTGCTGTGGCAACCTCAGCAGGGTATAATGATACAGAGTCTACCATTTTCTCCAGGGAACTGATCCCTGCCATCTGGAGAGCAGTTGTAATACCGAATGATATCCAGCCCTCACCTGGAGATTGGCAACAATGGTTCCCCAGGAGGAACTGACTGGTTTGGAGGGCAATTTCGGATTTAAAACAAGAGGATCTCCAGAATGATATGGACTTGGCATATCGCACAGATCCTGACTTTATAAGAAAAAACAAACTATCAGGCAAAATCTATGTTAAATTCTCTAAGAGAACAATGAGAGAAAATGTTTTAAAAGCTACATTGGAAAAACCATTAAAAGTTAACGAGGAAGAAATTAAAATTTTAAAAGACATTCCACTTGAGATCCGGAAACGAAGATGTCAATATAAAGACTTAATTCTTTTCTTGCAAAATAAATCAATAACCTACAGATGGAGCTTCCCAGAAGGACCCGTGTTCAACTATAATTGGAGAGGAACCCAGCGAGGAAGAAATTGATAATTCCTCGAGTGACTCCAGCAGTTCGACTTCAGAGTCTGAGAAAGGAGACGCAGCACCCAAAGCATCAAGAGTGAAGATGAAGAAACCCAAGAAATAAATGATTAATCTGGATTACAAATTTTTGATTTTAGCGTAATACTTTGGATACAAACTTTTGACCTTAGTGTAATTAATCTTCATCAGACAGAAGTTTGATCTCACTGTTTCCATACTTTTTTATATATATCATGTTAATACAGGAGTGATTTATGAATTTGTAACTCAACGTCAAATCTTGTCTTAAGTTAGAAACAGTACGTTCCCCTTACCCTTTACCCTTAGGAAGTAGGAAGTAGGAAAACCAATAAAATTTATTTTAAAAAAATCACTAGAAATGCTAGGAAAATTGCTGAGACCAATTGTTGTTGTGTCATTTAAAGATGGTTGGTGTAGTGGGATGGTTCCACAGCTCCCTTGGAGAAGCAGAAAGCCTGTCCCACTCACACAAGGTGGGAGTAGTCTCTAGCAATACCCTTTTCCTGCTGCAGCCCCTTCATATCCTATGTTGTTATCAAAGGTCGCCTAACTCTCAGGAATGAGTTTCAAGAGGCGAAAGCAAAAAGGGAGAGAGTAGAAGAAATTTATTCTGTGTGGTGTAGTGGTTAAGAGCAGCAGACTCTTGAGAACCGGGTTTGATTCCCCACTCCTCCATATGAAGCCAGCTGGGTGAGCTTGGGGCAGTCACAGTTTTCTCAGAGCTCTCTCGGCCCCACCTACCTCACAGGGTGTCTGCCGTGGAGAAAGGAAGGGATTTTTTTTTTCTCTGAGACTCCTTCAGGTAGTGAAAAGTAGGGTATAAAAACCAACTTTCTTCTTCTTCTTCTTCCTCTTCTTCTTCTTCTTCTTCCTCTTCCTCATCTGCTGCCAGCCGCAGGTCAAATACAAGCATGATTTGCAGTTTCTTTACCATCCTAGAAATGGAATTTGAATCCCAGGGCCAGTTTAAACATTGAAAAATGTGGTATAGCTCTTTCAGGGTCAGACTTCTTCAGAAAGCAGGGGAGCTGAATTCTCACCCATCTCGAAAGCTCCTTGCTTGTGGAAAGCTTGAATGTGAGGGAAGAAGAGTACTTTCTTAGCCTTCTGCGTGACGTGCTGGTTTGTTTGTATGCCTGGAGGTTTACCTCGTGTTGTTGATCGGAAGGAACAAATGGTTCTGAGAAGCAGCTCAGCCTGAAAAGACCACCAACCCATGCATACACACAGTTTCGAAAGAAAATGCAAAAAGCTAACCCACAGCCGCTTTCTAGGGTAGTAGTTTATAGCTGCGTAAACTGTCATAGAAACTGCAGTGGGAGGAGGGGCTGTCCTTTCCCAGCTTGCTGCTCTCCTTCAGAAAGAGCAGTGGGCAGAGCAAGACCCGGTGGCCTAAAGCCGACAGCAAGGAAGCAGATGAGGGAATGGATTGGCAAAAAGACTCGTTGCCCTGAGACCAGATGAGAGGAATAGATGGGGGAGCAGCAGCACCTGGTGGCAATGGGGAAATGCCATATTCTCTTTGGTGCCTTTGTCTTGCTGTGTGCTTCCTTTGTACTGCTTTCATCCCCCACATGTTCCTTGTTTACAAAAGTAACCATTTCTGTGCTCCCCCCTCCCCAGTATCATTTATTCTGTACTTTCCTTACACCTCTTCATTTTTCTAACAACTGTTCCAGTTGTGTGTGTGTTTTTTTAACTATTTGCCCTTCTAGAGAATAGCTAGTAAATCTTTCATCCTCAATTCTCGCAATTTATTAAGGGCCTCTTTTTTCTTACAGAACCCCGGTGTTAACTCTTAACAGGATGCTATGCTTCTGCTTCATATATCCAAGGGCTTGTCCTTTATTACCTCATCAGCAGAGCCTCTGCAGCATTCAAAAGTGTCTTCTGTTTTTATAGATGGTTATTCAAATCATACCAAAGGGGAAATTTTTCACCTGAAACGTGTAGCCATTTTGAACAGTTTTATTATGGAGGTCAACTATGCATCATATCCCATTCTTCTTCTTCAAAAGTAGTGCTAATTGAAACAGAGAACCTCTTCTTTTTATTCCAGGACAGGGCCTTAAATGCATGATTTCTGTTTATTTAGATTTTTTGCCTCCCTCCTCCTCCTCAAATCATGTGTGCACACACAGAGAACACGAACAGGGTGTCCAGAAAGTAATTAATAAAATGGAAAAATCTCATTTCCCAGGGATTATTTGAATTTTAATGTGCATAAAATTGTAAAAGTTGAAAGGAAACGGGCACTGATTGGTTCTGCTTCTACTGCCCCATGTCCAATCTATTGCCTTATCGATATCATGATGTACAAACGGGGGGCACCCTAATTGAACCTTGGTTTGTTCCCTAGTACCATCCTTGCCCAGTGAAGACTAGGATACCAGCTAGAGCTCTTCAGAGTAATGAGCAAACACAATTCAACCAGCGAGCCAAATCCTGCCTTCACAAATTAACCATAGTTAACAAGGAACCATGGCTCTGCATTATGTTTGACCTGAGGCATTGACTTGCAGAGCACAAGGGGACAGTAAAGGGCCATGCAAGCACAGGTCTTATTTAGTAAAGGTAAAGGTCCCCTTGCTCGAAAGCCAGTCGAATCTGACTCTAGGGTTGCAGTGCTCATCTCCGTTTCAAAGCCGAAGAGCCAGCGCTGTCCGAAGACGTTTCCGTGGTCATGTGGCCGGCATGACTAAACACCAAGGCGCATGGAACGCTGTTACCTTCCCACTGTAGTGGTACCTATTTATCTACTTGCAGTTTCTTGCTTTCGAACTGCTAGGTTGGCAGGAGCTGGAACTAGAGACGGGAGCTCACTCCGTCATGCCGCACAGTCGGGTCTCGAACTGCTGAACTACCGACCTTCCACAGCCTGCAGTTCAGCGTCTTAACCACTTGACCCCAAATTGTGGGTCAGATCCAGATTAAATTTTCCAGTACCAGAAATTTCTGTCCATTCTCCTTTTCCACCACAGACCCCCTTCATGTCATTTATCAAGGTCACCTGTCTTCCAGTAACATGCAGATCAGTGAGCTGCAGTGGTAGGGGACAGGCAGAGAAGTTCTGTTCAGCTGATGGGAAAGTTAGTCTGAATTCAGCCCCATTGTTCAACAATTATATCTGAACGAATGGAGAGATTTGATCATGGACAGTCAATGACTTTTATGGTTCAACCATTCTCAACTCTCCCTATTGGCTTTACTGAGTTTGTAGAAGAAGGAGAAGAGATTGGATTTATACCCCACCCTTCACTCGGAGTCTCAGAGCGGCTTACAAACTCCTTTCCCTTCCCCTCCCCACAACGGACACCCTGTGAGGTAGGTGGGGCTGAGAGAGCTCTGACAGAAACTGCTCTTTTTCAAGAACAGCTCTTGTCAGAACTATGGCTTGCCCAAGGTCATCCAGCAGCTGCAAGTGGAGGAGTGGGGAATCAAACCTGGTTCTCCCAGATTAGAGTCCGCACACTTAACCACCACACCAAATTGTATGGGGTTTTTTTTAAATGAATTTTCATTGTGGAAGACTGTGCTTTTTGAATGACCTCTTGCAAATCTGACTTATAAAAGTAGGGTATTTCCTAGCCAGCCACTATGACTTTTTTGATAGCCAGCATGGAAGTGATCTGTATGGGAGAAAATTGTAGTGAGATACAGTTTCCAGAGATGAGCCATGTCATCTCATCACTACTTTTATCTGACTCTTTTGCTTTTCTTTTTTTCTCCTTTTTTTTGGTGTGTGTGGCAGGCTTTTAATAAGCCCCTTGAGGGGAAAAAGCTTTGTCAGCAAATCTTTTGTTGACGTTTGCTACTCTGTAGAGCCCTAGAAATATGTAGGGCAAAACAATCTAATGTATCTGTCATATATCTGTTGACTGATGAAGAAAGCTAGTTGTATAAATGATATTTCCCCCCTCCTAATTTACTTTGTAGGTGGTCTTTGAGGCCTTGCATAATCTGGAGCCTCGTGGTTATGTGGTCGGATGGATCATCGCTATCAGTTTGCTGGTGGGAATTCTCATTTTCCTGTTGTTGGCTGTGCTGCTATGGAAGGTAAGCTATCTGTCAGGCGCAACACAGACAGAGGAATCAGCCATGGCCTTGACATAAAATGCACACACACCCCTCTGTGTCAGTCGCTGGTTAGCATCCATTAAATGTAAGGAGTAAAGTCTTCTACACTGAGACTATTAAGTATATATTTTTTTAAAAAACAGGTTTTTTTTCATGTTCTTACTAGGAAAAGAGAAGTTTCAAAATGACATAATGTGCCAAAATTCTTGACAGAAGACATTAAGGGTACTTCCCACTTGCTGATTGTCCATGTGGTTTGTTCCATTAAATGTTAGAAGCACCTTGTGTGGTTGGCACCTAATCCCATATCTTCTGAGATACTTTATGTTACAGAGTTACTGATCTTGCCACAGTGCTTCTTATCATTATAATTGTTATTATAATTGTTTATCTGGTGATGTTGGTATGGTATGGTAGCTGCTCTCCTGGCCTTAGTCCTCGTCTGTTTTCAAAGTTTTATTCTTTTCAAAACATTTTGTCCAGTTGCATAGTTATTCATCTATTTCCAGTGGGTGCCTTTTGTCTATTCTTCCTTTCCCCTCCACAATTTTCAGAACTCCTCTTAATTCCCTCTAAAGAAATTCTATAGCAAAAAGATGGTGGTGTTATCTGCTGTACAAACTAGTGTAACAGATCCCTGACCTGAGGAGTTTACAATCTTTTAGATGTTGGAAAGTGGGACAGGGCAGACAAATGTGGGGGGGGGGGAGTTAAGCAGGGCAGTAAAGGATGAATATATGCAAATGCAACTTAACATGGAATGCTTCCCCACTAGGACACTTCCCTGTTTCTCAGTTATTCTTTTTAAGATATAAGGAAACTAAAATTGTGGTTCACATGTAGAAACCTGGCATTGCTCATTCTTAAGATGGTTCTTATGATTCTACTAAATGGTTATTTAGAAATTTCCAAGTTCCATTCAGCAAATATTCGGCTTTGACAAACATTCCTACAACCGCCCTTTTAAAATTTGTTCCTTTGTTTTACAGCATTAATTAGTTTCTGTTCATGAGGGTTGCAGCATGCCTGAATTGATAATTATCAGCTTTTGTTCTACAGAAGAGAAGGGAAATACTTTAATTACTGCTTTCCTTTTGCAGTCAGAATGATTGCTCATTAATCTATTACTTTATTTTTAATTATTATAATTTCATAATCATACAATTCAGATAATAAAAAATAAATGAATAGTTGCATTGGCAATAAAGGTCCCATTACTCTCCTGGGTTGAATAAAAGCTTATAATTAAGGATCAATTTAGGAACACAGTAGCCACTACAAGAGAACAAGGATTAGTTAAGCAGAGGAGTGGAAGCAGTTATAAGCCACAGGAACAAAACTTAAACAGAAGCCCTGAAAAAACACAAACAGAGCTTTTCCAGTCTAGACTGATCAAATGGGTTCTGCAGTTTTGTTTTAAGCTGGGGTGGGGGGATTGCCACAAAAGAGACCAGGTGACAAAAGGGAAAATCCTAGAATGGAATGGGATGGCAACAGTGCTGTCTTGATTCTCCATGAAAGTTGAGTGATGTCTATTCCAGACTCAGTGGCTAGCTTGGAAGCAACAGTGCTTAGGCATCCCTTGTCCTCACCTGCAAAAAAATTTTTTTAAAAAAAACCCCATTTACTATGAGAGTAGCTGACCTTCTGACTAGCTGTTCAGTATGTTTTAAAACCCTGTTGACCAATGTTCCCTCTAAGCTGTGGAGTCTTGTGAGCACAAATTCTACTTTGTGAGCTACTGGCATTAAAGTTGTGAGCCAGAGATTTGGCTACTGCACAAATCAGTTTGCTCTGGAGCTATCCTTTCTGAGCTAAGGCAAAGGTGTGTGAGCTGGAGGCTAAAAAACTGTGAGCTAGCTCACACTAACTCAGCTTAAAGGGAACACTGCTGTTGACTATGACAGTATCTGACTAGGCAAAAGTGGCTACAGCCAGGGAAAGCAGGATACAGCTGGCTTTAAAAGAAGAAGTTGTACTTGCAAGGATGGGTGACTCCTGATCCCTCTGATAGTTTGCAGTGTCTGAGGTCCCTGCAAGCCACATCTTTTCCTGCTCCATTTCCTGCCACAGCCTATTCCAGCGACTGGTGGTAGGGAGGCCACTGGTGCTTTGGCATTCCAAGGAAGGTGGGGGGGGGACCTCAGATACACACCTGTGCTCCCTTATTAGGAAGTTAAAATGTGGATCAGTCTTCAAGGAATTAACACATGAAGATAATGAAACTCTGGTGGATCTTTCAGGAGCTGTAACCCAAGGACATTGGAGGGACAGGGGGAGCATGCACTGAGTTTAAAAAGCAGTTCCATTTTTCTTTCTTTATTCCTGTGCTGCGGACAAATGTCTTTAAATGTAAAATGCAAAGCATTGTGTGATTTTAATTTTGTGGGCTTTAGATTACTGTAGCATTCCATTCCTCTTCTAGCAAAACTCTCTCTAACAAAATTAAACAAATAGTACACTTAAACTGCATTTATTGTAGTGCTGTTTAGAGAAGCATAAGCCACAAAATACACAGACCCTTTTGTAAGGGAACATTGAAAACACTCCATAAATATCGTGCAGTTTATTTGTGTATTTTTTAAAAAATGCATTAAACTTTAAGAGATAAAATGACTGGAAATTGAGCTCGATAGCAGAGATTCGTCGCTTATCTGCTTTTCCATCATCGTTGTCCCTTACTGTGTTGTTTGTCTTTAAAACACACAGTTGCCTTTTTCTAGCAGGAAGGGACAGATATTTTTTTCTGTTGCCTGTGATTGTTCTGTATATCCTGTATTAAGTCAAGAAGACATTCTCTTTCATTGTGGCATACCTGAACACATGAAGATGCCTTTTACTAGTCAGAACATTGATCTACTAAGGTCAGTCATTGTCTACTCAGACTGGCAGCTTTCAATGGTCTCGAGGAGAAATCTTGCACACCACCTAGCATCTGATCCTTTCAATGGAGATTGTGGAGTGATCACATGCCAAGGGGGGGGGTGTCTCCTGCTCAGCCACACCCCCGTCTCAGGCAGGTAGAGAGGCGAGGTGCCCTTTCCTGCCTACTTTGGATATACCAGCATCCCTATATGGGACACCTGTTTCAAAAGGGCTCCGTTTTGTGAAGTTTAAGGATTTAAACTTTTCCAAATGAACTTCTTCTGTTAAACAAGCCAGTATTTACATCCAAGCAAACATTAATAACCCCAGGTTGCTAGTTAGATGTCATGTTATTATCGCCTTTTAAAGAAGGATTGGGGTGTGTGTGTTTTCCAGGGTTTCATTCTTTTCCAAGTTATGCACAGCCAATGTATGCAGCCCTTCAGCCGAAAAAACACAAAACAAATCTAACAATCTAGCATGGCAGGAAAATTATTCTTCTGAGTGCAGACTTCAACAAGTGTCAGCAAGCTGCCATTCTGTTTTCTGTGACCTCTGTGTACATATCTTTCCCTGTTGCACCCGGCTTGTTTTCTATCATCCTGCTCCTGCGTTGGAATGCACAAGATAACTGCTGGAGGTTGTGTGGGGGAGAAGAGGCTTGCCTATTGCTTTTCTCATGAGTACTGCACCTGTGTTTTGTCTGATGTTCTGCCTGGTTCCCATGGACTGGGCGCGCAACCGTTTCATTAGCCCGCCAGCGGGAATGCTATTCATTGGATCTGTATCTGTTTGAATTTCCTTTATTATGCTTGACCTAACTGTGTATCCCCAGTTCTAACAAAGAACGTGTTTGAGTATGTCTTCAACGCTTTGAAATAAATTTTGCTTTTCTTGAAAACGTGGATTTATTCTCGATGCTTGGGGATCCAACATATTGTTAGAACTCCCTTTCTCCTATCGTTCCGAATCTGGCAAGATCATGAGCGGAACTGAGGGAAACCTACTTAACACGGAGGGGGACTCAGGATCGGTCCCACATACCTCCGCTTCTTTGGTGTTCACGACTGCAGCCTCGGTGGAGGGTGCCGTGGGGGGAACGATTCCCCGCCTGCCTGCACATCTGTCTTGGCCGCCTCCGACCCCTTCGCACTGGGGTCCGCGGAAGACTCAACAGCAGGATGACTGGACTATGTACAACACTCAGGGCACCCGAGAGGTGTACTCCCGTCGAGGGAGCGGATTACGTGAAAGTCTGTTTGACAAGGGATTGTTCCCGGAGCCGGGGACTACCTCGGAGAAGGGGAGTTCCAAGCAAGACCTCGAGGAGTGGATGTTCGAGCCATCGGGGCCGCGAGGCCACGCAGAGGATGAGGAGGGCACCGGAGCCTTCCAAACGGAAGAGGACTATGACCCACCCCCGGACTATCGACCTCGGGACCCCATCCCGGAGGAAACCACCGGGGAACGACTGGCAGAACTGGAATACTCGGTGAGGGACTTGTTGAGGACATTCCAGGATGTAATGGAAGCTCTGCCGGGAATGATGGACGTTAGAATGGCTAATTTCCTTGACGCACACGCCGCGCAGCAACAAGTTGTCCCTGCACCGGGAGTTCCCGCACCGCAGCTGCAAGTACCGGGAGTTCCTGCGCCGCACGTGCCTGTCCAGCCGCCGGCGGGACCGCCTCAGCAAGGGCCTGTGCAACAGCCGATGCCGGGGGGTCCGCCGGGACCGGGTCTGCCGCCACCGATGAGGCCAATGCCAGCGGGGCCACCGGTTGGTCCGGGTCTCCCTCTCAGGGGAGTTCCGGGTCAGCTGGGACCGTTGGTAAGGCCTCCACGGCCCAGACCCAA